ATAGTATCAAAATCAGCCTAAAATCAGCCATCTGATTTTTAGCCGATTTGGACTATTTCGACTAGTGTTGAGTCTGAGAAGGCTGAGCTTTTAAAGCAGATTGCGGAAGAGAGAGTCAAATATGAAGCTGAGAATGCTGAGCTCAGGAGTAGAATCGAGAAGTTGAAGAAAGGTAGGATAGATACTGTTGCAGATAATGTTAAGCGTGATGATGAAATTACTGAGCTGAAGGTTGAAGTAGTAAAACTAGCCAAAGGCGCTCAGGCAAGGGATGGTAATAAGGAGAACAGACGGTAAACTCCTAAGGTTACTAATATACCTAGCTCCACTGTAGACCAGCTCGATAATGCTTCTAAGGTTTCATCTAAACCAAAAATCCAGTTCTCTGATGCGAGCGAGGAGAAGTCATCAGAGAATAAGAAGACAGATGCTTTTTTGAATAAGATGCATAAGAAAAGTATTAGTAAAGAGATTAGGCAGAGAAATTGAGAGAAAAAACTTTGCACAGCGCCTTCTAGCCAGCCTGAACCACTTAGCCAAGAGGCGCATTCAATTTCCCAGAACACTGCATCTACTACTTCTACTACTTCTCATAGGTGAAAAAACGAACAGGACTTGATTTGAAAATTGCTTTCATTCATGGAAGAAAAATATGCTCCATCTGTGACTGAAATTTTAGCAAACCAAGTTCGCCCAAATAATGAGACTTCAATAGAAAGAAATAGAGAACAGTTGGCCTAAGATATTATTAGTCTATATGAAATTGCGCGTGATACAGAAAAAGATATAATCGAAGCCAATAGAAAAGAAAATTTGCGCTGGTGTTTCTATGCTAGAGAATTCAAAAGAATGTATAAAGATTTTATGGTTAGCAATAAAGTTAGGGAAAAGAAAGCTAAAGGTCAGGTATATGATTTTATCATCAAACAACTTCCTGATACTAAATGTAAAACTTTATGTAGGCAAACACAAAAAGCTTTAAGAATTGACGATTTTTTCAAAAAAATAGGAATGGACAAGCTTCAATACATAAAAACATATAGTGCGAATACTATTTCAAAATTTACTGATCCTCAGATTCAAATGATTATAGATTACTTCACTGAAAACCAAATATGGAATTCACTGATGATCCTGAGGATGAAGAATAAGATAACAATTAAAATAATGTAACAGAGGTACAAGTGAATCTCTTAGACTCAGCTAAGGTAAGCATCTCAACCGCACCTATTAATTTAATATACGTCTCTGCAAAGCGTCTTAACGGCAATTCTTCAGATGGTTCCTCTAAAATCAGTCTAGTAGCTGTGAATACATCATCAGTGTCTCAGATAATATCATCTAAGAAGTCCAGGCTTCCGATTTCTATCTTGCCTGAAGATCTTGAAAAGAAACAAAAACATATTATTGGGTTGGTGTTAGAGTGGTTTCCTTCTTTATCTTTGAGAGATAGTAGTGAATGTTGTGAGTGGTTTAATCATAATAATTCAACACTCTGTCCAATATGTAAGGGAGACCATAAAAAAGAAAGTTTATGGAGTGATATAAAAGGTGAGTAGGGTGCAGGTAAATATTACAGCGAACAAACTTATCGTATCAAATGCAAAGATCCTCTTAATTGTGAAATTCCAATAGTATCTGTAAAAGCATAAAGGGCGGCAGAAGATATTTGGTAAAATTCTTGCTGAAGGCAAAACCTAGAAGAAATCTGGTCTGAGCAGTTCGATCCAACTAGTCTAGAATAATGATCATCAACTCAGAAGAATCATCTTTCCAATTGAAAAAAAATCTAACTATATATAATACATATAGCTAATTTTCTTGATCTTCTTCCGCCTGAACTAATACCATTTATTTTAAAGAATTTACTGATACAGGATCTTAAAAAATGTTGCAGTATAAATAATATATAAAAAGATGAAGTTGTTCGAGAAATCTGCAGAAGAGTAATAGTAGATTGTACATTCATTGATGCTAAAATAACTGTCGAAGCACTGATCGATTTTAAATCCTGCTTAAATAGTATCAGTAAAGCGTTTGCTAGAAAAATGGATTTATATGTATCTAGGGAGTTTGGATCAAAATATCCTACAATGAAAAGCCTTGATATTGGAGCAACTAATACTGGCAAGAAAGTAATGGTAAGAGGCTGGCTTTATGGTGAAAAATTTCTATTTCTATTCCAGATATCTTTGACTTAAAATCACAAAGTAATACTTTACCTCTATGTTTGGGAAAATCAACTGAAAAGTTTTTAGTTATTGACAAGCCTGAATACGATGTAGTTTTAGGAGTAACATGGTTATGGCGTGTAAAGAATAAAATTGAAGAATACATTAACCCAAAACCAAAAATATATATGTATACTCCTGAGTGGTATAATACGAGGAATAGCGTTAAGAAAATTATTACTTCATTGCAAATATTTTATGAGCTAATATAGCCAAATTTTGAAACATACAATATTGATCAGAATGCCTCAATTGACCTAGACGAATATTGCGATTCGAGCTATTCTGAAACAAAGACAGAAACCAAATCTATTTCTTCTGATTCAAATTATTTTTCTGAGTCTGAAGTGAAGAAGATAGTTACTGAAATTTGAAAATAAATTCTACCTTCTTTGGTACTGCAAAAGATAAGCCAACAATGTTTAGTGAAATTTTTTTGAAGTTAATGTATAGAAATAATCAGCGTAAGATCTAAAAAATTAATCATGTATATTAAAATAGATATAATGTATTACAAGTATAGTCCTGATCTTTTATATTTATTTTTACGTAGTAAGTCACGCTGTATTAATAAAAGATTTTTTCCTTGGTAAAGTTGCTATCAGAAGTAATGTGTCATATGAATTTTATCTCTGGCCTCAGAAAAACTATTTATCCACATGAGATGCTAATTGCTGTGATTTGCAAAAGGGTAATGAATGACAAAATGTGGTGTATAATTGCTAATGAAAATTCAGGAAATGTTTCTTCTGCGAAAATTACAAGTGCTATAAAAGTGACTGTATAAATAATGTTGGCAAGAAGTAATGGCAAAAGCTAGTAATATATCCATTATGTCAGATTCAGAGCAAAGTAGTATGTCATCGTCTTTTCTTACTAATCTTAGAATCCTTGGATATAAAATATTTAAAAGTCTCGAAGAGAAAGATGTTAGAGATATTAACGTTCTAGAACTAAGGCTATGTTTTGAATGTAACGAGGAAATTTTTTCATTTTCCATTATAGGATTCACCACGCTCGCCTGTGGCCATACTTACCATAGACTTTGTATAGAAAAAAAGCTTCCGAACTCTTACCCGTTCCCTGGTTGTGAAAAGAATGTTAACACTATAGAAGCTAGGAGGGTTCGCAATCATCTCAATCAAGCGGTGTTTTGACTATATCAACTCTGATGGGCAAAAAGTTTACAATAACTTTGCCAACAATACATGAAGATGCTATGAAAGATGTGAAGATTGCTGTGTATTAACAAACTGAAAGTGAACAAAGCAGTTTAACGTGTGCAAAATATTTTGAAGATATTGCCCAAGTCTTTACTAAAAGTATTACCGATTTCTTATTCTGACTTTGCAATTGAAGACCCTACGGGAAACGTTTGCAGAGCAACTTTTTTTTGCTTTAACGTAACTTCAGAGAAGGATATTAAAGTGTAATGATCATGATATTTCAATTTGTAATGCAAAAAAAATCAATTAACACAATTTAAGTGGCCAATCTGTTTGTAGTTCGCCAGTATCATGTATTATTTTATTTTTTTCCTTGCCCATATATATACTATACATGGGTATATATAATGCTAATAAAATCAGATAAACACATAATATCAATATGATTTTTCGTAATATAACTCTAAATACAAAACAAATTAGGTTACTATTACACAACCATTTCGGTTATTTACAGATAGCAGATTATATTAAAGTCTTATCCTACTAATCTGAAAGCATTTCTGAAGTTACCTCTTTTATCCATTACTTTCTTTAGATAACTCTTGTATGACCACTTGACGCTTGAGAAGTCCGTCTTAGATATGTACAAAAGTTAATAACTTATTTTAATAGGATTGAACAGAATAACATACCATAACATACTACATAATATGTTATGAGCTCAAAAATACGCATGTATTCTCCTATGAAGGATAAAGCAAATGAAAAGGTGACATTTCTGACTTTAATTTCTTTGCATATCTGTGGCAGTTAAAGGGATACTTCTATAAGTGTAATTCAGTCTTCTACAAATTGTTATATCAATATCAATATATCAATATATATATAATACAAGAAATAATTTGCATACCAATGATTTGAATGTTATATGTTTTAAGTTTCTTGGCAGTCTCAACACTAGCGTCAAGAAACTTTCGGAGACTTGTGAGAAGAATGTCTACTCCAGTATTGGAGATCTTTTCTGAATCTTCAAGAGTATGTTTTCTATCTTGTTGAAAGGGACCTCCTGATGATTTCATATTCATTACGTCTATATTATATGTAAGGTCTGTGGTCAGTGCATCAGTTTTCTTAGATACTAGCTCACAAATTGGATCATCTACGAACTCTGTTACCTTTGTTGACATAATTTCCTTTTCAATCCAGTATGTCGTAATAGTCTCAAACACATATTCGACGAGTTTAAATAGTGTTGACACCCTTTCAACGAGGAATTTTCTCTCTGAATTGTACTTCATGAGAGCATATTTTAGATTGTATTTGATTATTAAATAAAATTCCTTTAACGTTAATTTGAATATTTCGTATAATTTTTTGTCTCTGTCTGTGATATTTTCGTCCTGCAATTATTCCTTAAGGTATCTATATAACTTCTCTGGAGTGGATGCCGATAAAGTTTTTCACAGCCATACTTTAAGAGTTGTTCCTAGGCTAGTTAATATCCTCTGTTCTTTCTCATGAGTTTCAATCTCATTTACTATCTTAAGATATCTTATATTAAGAGTACTTTTAAGGAATTTAAATCCAGAAATAATTTTAGACGATATAATATCAAACTTATATGATGTAAGGATCGGTTTATGAGGAGTCGAGAATAAATCTAACTTTTGATTGTTAGTTTGTTTATTGTTGCCTGCCCAAAACGCTATTTGTTTCTTATCGAACTCCACTTTTTCGTTTTCTATTTTTTCAACTTGAGTTTCAAATTTAATTCTTGAAGGTATGTTAATATCTTTATCGTCATTTCCAAGTTCCACTTTCTTTATATCTCGTTGAGCCACATCATTAATTTCTTCAGCAAATCTTTTTTTGTGAATCTTGAGAACATTCTAAAAGGAAATGATTCTAAATTAATGCAATATAATCAAAAAAAACACATGCAAAGCACATAGGTTTACACTTTCGAATAAAGCACTAGCTCTGACATTAGTTAACTGTTCCCTATATTTCTTCTCAGAAGTTATTACTTTCCAGAATATTTTGATTGCTTTACTTTCCGTTATTTTTTATGTTAGTTATTTCATAATGGTAAAGGAGACGTCTTCAGGTGGTTTTGCTTCAAATATCTTTCTTATATGAATGATGTACAGCTATCTTTTGAAGGCCAACCAGGATTTGACTTTTCTTAGCCTCAAGAAACTCAACAAGGGACTAGTCGTTCCATATAGTTTTAAAGAAATAATTGTCAACACTGAACTTAAGATGCTCTGGGGGGACCAAATCATATTGAAGTCTATATGTAAAAGTTATAAAAGATTTATATTCTCTCAGATAACATGTTTCATCAAGATATAAAAACGTGAACACAAAAGTCAAGATAAAAAAGTAGAGGATTGATATTTAAGATAACATCAATGATCAAATATGTGCTGTTAGTAAGCCCCCCAAAAGTAAGCACCCTAGCCTGAATTATCACGATTTTGGCCAGCATTAAGTTCAAAAAAGGGGTGCTTAATACATCCTGCAGAGTTGTTAACATTGTCATGTGTATAACGTGACAATACGACAAAAAAAACCAACTCTATGTAACTGTGATCAAAAGTTTTACAGGAGTAACTCTTCTATCTTATTTAGGTTTCGCACTGCTTAACATAATGCATAAACTTCTTGTCTCCACCTAGCCCAATAGTGCGTCTGGCAGATGATGAGTACGTCTCAGTGGGTGTACGAGATAGAGAAAATGTCTGGCCTTTTGCTAGTCCAATAGTGCGTCTGGCGGGTGATGAGTGCGTCTCGCAACTGGCTGATATGACTCCTATTGCAATTATGCAAACTTCCAGCGATGAATCAGCAACTAAAAAATCAAGAAACAATAGGCAGGTACATTCTGAGCTTAAAGACTTCATGTATTTCCGATTTTATGCTATTTTTACAATAATAAAAAATTCTTTTAAGGATATATCTATTTTTAGCAATCAAAATTTCGTAACTCAATGTTTATCATGTATCATTGCATTTCACGTACTCCCAACGATATCCTCTAGCATAAGCTCGGAGTCCTCGATATACTACACCAATATTTGACTGGTTAATTCCAGTTGTACGTTGCGCTTCAGCTATGGATGGAAATTCTCGAGTAGAGCCATCGTCAAAAATCTGCCTAATAGGACGTTAGTATCTATTACTATCCTTGAAGTTATGAAGCCCGAGACGTACATCGTGTTGCATATTTTCTTTTTGTGTGTACCATTCTAGATTGGATGCATTATTGTTAGTAGAGTCGCCATCAATATGATTTACATATTCTTTTCCTTCTTTTTTGGGACAAAATGCTAATGCCACCAAGCGATGAACAAGATATCCTTCTCGAACAATTTTTCGATAACCTATATGCAATGAACCTTGGGTGATTTCACCATTTGTTAACTGAATTCTTCCAAGAGATGAAACTCTGAATTTTCGTGAATCAAGCTCTATTTCTCTCTATTCTTCATTTGGATCAGGTTCTATGTAATCTTCATAATACATCCAACGCCAGCCACCAGAAGTTTTTTGCTTCCCACTACAACATTCTGAAATACAAGTTTCTGAAATTTTGAGTGCATTACTGGTGAGCCGAATAGAATCCCAAATCTGAACAACATTTCTATCTACCGTTTTCTGCACAATTTTTCTGGATCTGATACGACTGTAATTTGAGAATATCCTATGTTCAGCATTCTCTTTAGGAGTTACCCATTCCAAATTATCAGCCCGATTATCATGTTTGATACTATTGATATGATTAACATGGGGCTTATTCTCTGGGTTAGAGATAAATGCTCTTGCAACTAAAATATGAACAGCAATATTTTTATAAACCTTATTGATTTTTAACCCTATTTGTATATAACCTTTTCTTTTACAGGGATTTCGCTTAAATATCATACCTTTTTTGTTCTTGATGCGTCCAAGATTAGAAACTAGTAAGTCTGAAGAAGTTGCTACTGGTAACCAAACTTCCATTATGATATCTACAGTATTATTTATCATCATATCTACTTTTTAAATCTAGATCACGTCAGGAAAACTTTATCAAATTGACTTACTATACTTTTGCAAAGCAATCCTCTGCAAATAGCACATACAAAGAAGTTAAGGAAAAACTTCCAGAAAATGTAAACAAGCATATCACTGTATTAATGATAAAATATATAATATTATATTATTCTGCAAAACACTCTATATATAATTAAATATTATTTATTAAAAAATTATAATATTAATTAAATATTTAAATATTAATTTTATGATAATATTTATTATTTATTAATTATCCTATTTATATAATTATATATATATATAAATTACTTTTACAATATATTTCAAAATAAAATTTAAATAAATTTTAATAAGAAAATTATTATTTAATAAAATAATTGTTAAAAAACAAATGTAAATTAAATCTTTATAAATACTTTTATATAAATTAAAATACTTCAAGCATATAAAATACTGTATATATTTATTATATATTGCTTATATATTGCTTTTATACGCTAATAAATTTTTTCAGCATATAATTAAGAATTAAATCATAGAGAATAAAATAATATACATAAAAAAATTATATAAATCCTATAGTATTAGTTACAAAAAAAATTATACAAGAAAAATTAAAGTACATTATTAATTATATTACACTAAAAAAAACCGAGTATATTAATTTGATGATGCAGATGAATATAAAGATGTAATAGAATTTCTTCTTCCAAGACGTGATTTCGACTTCTCAAGTTCTTTTTCAAGTCTTCCATTATAAATTATAAATATTTTATAATTAATAAAGGTATGAAACACTCAAATTAAACACACTACATTAATTACCTAAGGATTCTTTCTCTTGCTTCTTGAACTTCTCGTTCTGCACGTCTCTTGCCCAATTGTAAAGAACTTTCAGAACTTTGCTATTATATAAAAAAAAAATTCATTAGTTAATTGAAATGATAAAAAAATTTATCTAAAAACATAATTGGTAAAAAAATTTACAAATTCTTCAATTACTTCTCTCATTTTTCCAACCTTCTGTTCATATTTGCAAATTTCTTGTTCAAATCTTAATTTTGATTTATCATGTTCAGCAAGCTGATATTGTAATTCACGTATTGTTCTATTGGCTTTACGTAAATTACTTAAAATTTCATTCTTTTCGTTTGTTTCATTATTAAATGCTAGAGTTAATTCTTCCAGTCTTGTTTCAAGTCTTTTTAAATTTTTTGGTGAAGTCAATAATCTACTTTCGAATTCTGTTATTCTAACATTCAATTCTGTAATCTGTTTTTCCAGTATTATCTGTAATAAAAATGATCATTTAAGCTTGAATATCAAGAAAGAAATAAATAAATAAACTTTCTCATAACTATAGAATATTTACCTTTGACTTGGTTAAATCTTGATTCTCACATTTTTCTTTTGCTAGTTCAGTTTGATAATCTACCAAATTGGCTTCGGCTTTTCTCAATTTCTCATTTAAAGCATTAGCAGTATCTTGATGTTCTTCAACTAATTGTTTCAGATCAAAAACTTCTTTATCTAAAGCTGACAAATTTTTTTCTGCTACGCGTTTAATTTGACTAGCGTCATGATATTGCTCATGAATTTCATCAAGTCTGTCTTCAAGGTTCTTTTTCAATTTTTCCAATAATATTTTATGTGATTCGGTCTCTTCCAATGTAGTTCTCAATTGGCTCATTTCAGATAATAAATTATTAATTTGTATTTGAAGTTCATCATTAGAAGCTGATAAATCATTATTTAATTGACTTAATTCGGAAATCTGCGCTTCAAATCTTTCTCTTTCGCTTCCAATTAATATCGGATAATCCTTAGAATTATTTGTTAATAAATCTCTAAGTTCTGAAGATAATTTTTTATTCTCTTCTTGAAGATTTAGCATATTAATTCTATCCGATTCAATTTCCTCATTAAGTTTATCAGTTTCAACTTCATATTTTTTCCTAAGTTGCTCGAGGGCATATTGTACATCTTCAATCTCTTTCCTATATTTTTCTCTTTCTTCTTGAAAATTTTCCTGTATCCTTTGTTGAAATAATCCAAAATCTGCAATTTCCACCGCATCACTTTCAGCCTTTTCTTCCAATTCTTTAATATGCATCTTAAGAGATTGAACCTTTTCCTGGGAAATCTGTAACTCATTTGTAATATCTTTTAGTGAATGTTCAAGTTTACTGATCTGATGTTTCATTGATCCTTCAATAGTTTCCGATTTGAGTCTGAAAAGTTCTGCTGCCTCAAGTTTAGATGCTATATTATCTAACTTAATCTTATCTTTCTTTCTCTCTTGAACTTCATTCTCATATTTATTTTTCATTTCTTCAAGTTCCTCTTGCAAAAACTGATTGGTTTGTTCAAGTTCAAATATTTGATCATTTGATTTGGTAATGTTAAATTCATTATCAATATCTTCAGGTTCTTCTGTGAACTTTAATTTTCGCATCAATTCATCCTTCTCAAGTGAAAGAGACCTTTCATGATGGAAAAGTCCTTCTAGAGTCGTCATTTCAGCACTCAATTGCGTATTAATTGATTCCATTCGTTGTCTCTCTTGTATTTCATATTGCAATTTTTCTTCCAATTCTTTTATGCGTTCTTTTAATAATCTAATTTGTTCATCTTTTCTACTAGGTAACATTGGCCTAATTTGGTAATAAAGTTTAACCCAATGATCTTGTTTAAGATTGTTAATGGCTCGTACGTTCCTTTGAATAACAAGAGCGGCTTGAGTTTCTTTTGAAAGTTTTCTGTAATCCTTGCGTGAAAGTTTTCCACGGCAATGTGCTTGAAATCCTGTAAACACGAGGGATAATTTTGCGTCTCGAATTTCCTCCAATTCAGCCAACTAATTAATATAAATATAATTAAATAAATATACACTTAAAACTAATGAATAATTTTAAAGAATGATACATACCACACCAGCACGGAAAAAAACTTTACTTAAACCAAGACGATATTGATCAGTCTCGAGTTGAAAAGCTTCTAACAATTTCTGTACAGCTTCTCTTCCATTTAAATAACCTTCCGGAAGAATTCCTGGCGCCAGAATTTCATATCTTTGCCTAAATTCAACAAAACCTAATCGGTTAGGAAATCCAACACGACAAATACGGATTCCTTCCAGAACACCATTACATCTTAATTGATCGAGCACAAGTGGTACATGAATCTTCCCTGCCATTTTTTCTTCGTTAGGAACAATACAACGAACAAAATGTGGGTGTGTCGAATAAAGTTGTTGCATTAATAAATGCAACTGCTCCTTATGTCGACGACCAACAGTACGAAAAGCTCCACGTTTTGCACGATTCTTTGTGCCATAATCCGTAGTATCGCCAAGGAAATCAGAAAAGAGCGATGCTATATATGGTTGTGAAGAATGCGCTAAAAGTTTTGTAACATTCTCATTAAGAGGGTCTTTATTCTTATCAAGCCAGCCAGACGTTGTATATTCTACTTTTGCAGCATAATGATTGAGAATGAACCCTTGTTGAAATCGAGGAACGTTATAATTTGGTGATTTGTCCTTCCAAATCATATGCAATTTCTCAACGAACGTTTTATCAGTAGCCTTTGGCATAACACACTCTTCATCCAGGCAAGCCAATATACCAACAGGCTGAAATTATTTAACAAAATTTATAAATGCAATCTTTTTAGAATTTTGAGAAGTGAGAAACAAACTTTTGAACATACTTTAACTTTTTCGATTAAATCAATTGTTGGTTGTAAGTCCAAACCAAAATCAATAAAATCCCATTCAATTTTTTCTGTTTTGTATTGTTCTTGTTCCAAAACAAACATATGTTGATTGAAAAATTGCTGAAGTTTTTCGTTGGTATAGTTGATACATAATTGCTCAAATCCATTTGTCTGCAACAAATTAAAAATACATCTTAAAAAGTTTAAAATTTAAGAAAATAAGATAAATAAAACTAACCTGAAAAATTTCAAAACCGGCAATATCTAAAACACCGATAAAATAAGCCTTATTTAACGGTGTATCAATTGCTTTATTAATCCTTTCTACTAATGCACCAAAATTTCTCTCATACAAAGCTTTTGCCAAAGCTTCGATTGAATATAAAACTTGTTTCTTGGTTCTAGCTTGAGCAACCCACTCACGGCCCGCCTTTACTTGAGGTTTAATAAGTCCTTTAATAAAAGCATCTACCGGGATGCCCAGTACATGACAAACTTTTTCTGCCACAGAAATGTCCAAAATATTTGCTTGATCATCTCGCCCAGATGTAACTTCAATATTTCCAAGATGAAGAATTGAAGCTATTATACGGAAGAGATCAACTTGCTCATCTTGCGAAATACCGACAACATCCATAGCGCCCTATAAATAAAAAATTAAAATTAAAAATCAAAAAAAAAATAAAACCTAATTTAAAAATTGATTATTAAATATTATACGAACCACAAGAGTTTCGAATTCAGCAGCATCATTCACACCATCAATATCTTTCGCAGAATGTTTTATGAACTTATAATCATCTAGCGAACCATCCAAGAGAAATTTATCTAATAAAAAGAGAGGCATAAATATTTTATAAATATAATTTTAATTATTATAAAGTTTAAACTCACTTTTAATCGTGGATGAAGCTCCTCTCAATAGCTGATAAAATATATGAAAATTTCGTTCCTCAGTCGTCTGATAAGTAACACGCGATTTTTCCAGCAAATATCGTTCGATATTTGCACCAGAAATTTGACCACCAGAATTGAATTCAATGCGAATAAATTTACCCTAATAAGAAAAAATAATAAATTAATTGAACTTGATAAACCGTTTTAAAAAGCTAAATTGAAACTTACAAAACGAGAAGAATTATTATTTCGGATTGTTTGAGCATTTCCAAAAGATTCTAATATTGGATTGGCTTGAAGGATTTGTTGTTCAAGTCTACCATATGTCTTGGTGTTAGCATTATCACTAG